TATTGAACATCCACTAATAGTGAGAATGTTGTTTTCATTAGTGAGGGATTAAAAGATCCATAGGTCCAGGTGGTTCTGTGCAAGCATCACTTTTAAATTATTGAAAGATTTCCTTTAAATCTCAGTATTTCTTCCAACAACTAGGGAGTAGAAAAAAAATCCCCACTATTCATCAAATGTATGCACTACATTTGATCTTTCATAAATCCCTTCTATAGTTGAACTTGGAGAGTTAACTCTGTCGGTGTGTTTGAGTCATAATCATATCAGCCTTGGTTGATCTTTCAACAAATGGAAAGTTCCTAAAAGGATGGAGGAAGGTCCAAGGAGAAAGGGATAGAAAGCCTAGGTCAACTTAGATGCAGAGTATCTGGTAGCAGAGAGAAGGCAGGGAAAGAAGAAATAAAGAGATAAGGGTTGGACAACCATCAACACATTTGATTAGTTATTAATATTTACAATGTGCTCACCCCACAGACTTTTCTTTAAATGATAAATTGTTCTTCATCTGTTTAGAAACGTAATTCATTCTTTCAGTAGGAACTAAAGATTTAAACAGTATATTTCCTACTCTTTTCCTCAAACATTCCCTTTAGCTTTGCATCTAGTCTCAATAGTGTTGATTTTTAGCCAGATTCCCCTTAGTTTGAGTTGAGACATTTGATTAAGTTTTCTGACCAGTTTTCTTTCTTATTTATTCATTCTTTTTAGTCCACATAATGAACCATCATGCTGTTGACCATCAGCTCTGTGTTCAAGTGGGAGTAGACTGACCAGATTTTGATTTCACATTTTGCAAAGAAGTTCCCTCAGTTTGCCGTCTTGGTGCAAAGTGCTGCTGCCCCCATATTCACATTGAAGAAGTGATTCATCTGGGTTACATCCCAAAGTCTACCAAGGACTTTCAGAGCCTGTCTGCCTGTCTAAGGGTCCCATCATGTCATGGCAATCACATGAAGTCTCCAGTCTCTCATGGATGTGCCAGTTTTTAGAATGTTAAGGCACAGGAGGGTGGGCTTCTTAAGGTCTTAAACCTGTATTTTTGATACCTGAAACTTTTCCCTGGACCCTGGAGGACTTAACTTCTTATCTCAGGAGGAGCCCACCTGTAACTCCAGGGGGAAAATTTGTTCCCAGCCTGGGGCAAATAACTTTTGAAGTGAAATCAGTCAAAGGAAGAAATAAAGTGGGAGAAAACCATTTTTGCTTACAAGTAGTTGTCCACTTCTGCTCTTCTGTGTCTCCTGTGACCCAGATGCAAAAGGACCCCCAAAATACCTCTCCAGTTCAGGTGCACGTTTTCTCTCTGCCTCCTTTGTAATCACCTACTGATATGGAGATGCACTAAGGCCAGGCAGGAGATTCTGAACTATTGCAATTTTATCCACATCACCCCATCAATACATCTAAGCTTTCAAATAAATTTCCATGAGATTCCAATTTTAGTGCCAGTCTGAGTTTACCCCTAGAGTGTATCCTGACACCTTAGTAATATTTACCTCAAATAACACAAAAATTTCAAATAAACATCAATGATTTCACTAAGATTAATAGCAACTTCTAAGATACTTAACCTATTCCAGTGGTCAAATTCAGAAACACACCAATGTGATGATATCTGTTATATGCAAGAATTTGTAGACCAAATATCATTTGTAGAAATAACAGTGAACTTTTATGCCAAGAATTAGTATCCTTGTGTAAGACACATCATCTCTAAACAAATGTTTTCCAAAAAAGCAACCCAACTATTTAAATGTATTTGGTATTTTCTTAGGCATGCCTTCAAAAAAAATTTTAGGAGAAAAAAAATTATTATTATTCTTTTCAAGGCATGTTTCAGGGAGTTCTCTCAGACATTGTCATTTGGCTCAATTTAAACAAACCTGTAAATAGGAAACTGGAAAGAGACGTGCACAAATTTTGATTAAGCTTGAAACTTCCTGTAGATTTCACAGGACCAGTGAAATTATCCCGTAAAGAAGACACTCATAATGATTCCAACAGAGCCCTTTCCCTTTCCTGTTCTGTCACTTACAGGCACTCTTGTCACATGGCTCATCCATGTTGCCTAGTGACAGCTTAGTTTTTACTGTTTCACTTATACGTAACACAGTAACACACACCTTTCCACGTGACACCTGAGCTCACACCAGACTTGCTAGTGTTGCTTCTCCCTCCTGGGCTGCTCCTCCCACCACTCCCCAGACCCTCATTTCACCCCAATTTAAATCCACAGTCAAGTGCCCTACACTCCAGTCATCTTCTTTGAGATCTCCCTTAGGAAACAGCCACCAGCCTGAACATTAAAATCCTTTCACCTTTTTTGTATCACTAGTTCTTAAGTGTTTACATGATTGATTTTGCTTACCAGCCTCAAATTCCTCCTTGGCAGAAGTCAGATCCAACTCATCGTTTTATTGCCCAAATTGTTCAAAACTCAGCAGTTCCATCATTACAGTTATATGAAAAGATGTTGAAAGAAGGAAGAAAAAAAACTCTTGAAAAACCTACAGTGTCTGGGCTGTATGTCTAAGAGAATATCCAATGGACATCAGTGGATAGAGATACAGATATGGCAAAAGAGATGGCCTGTACTTTCTTAGATGTAAGAAAGATGTATGAATGTACACAAACCAATCAATTATAGATGGAAGAATTCATGATGACTAGCTGTAGTGTGTTTAATTTTCGTTTTAGATACTTGCAGACACTCAACAGCCTAGGCTAATTTAACCAGGCTTGGGTTTTGAAGTATGATTCAGCAGCAGTAAGATGAGCAACAAAGAAAACAGTGGGCTGTAATAACTGGGGAATCTGATGACATTTATTTATGCAACACTCCTGGCTGGAGGCAGAATCCATTTCTGAGTTTCCTAGCAACAGTAATGTGCACACGTGAATATGTCCCTGTAAATAGTAGATGCAGTGAGTGAAGTTTCCATTCTCTCTTAGAAATGACAGCTTGAATTGCCAGACCTTGTTGATACTAAACCACTGTGTTTCAAAATCGCTTCAAAGGAACCTTGGTCCCGTAGACAACAGCATATAACATTTCAAACAGGAGTCACCGAATCGCTCTGAGCTACTGTGCCATGAGCACAGGAGTGATTATTGCATTCTGTGTATTTTGCAGATTTGAAGGGGCAGAATTTGGACCTTATAGAAGCAATCTATTTTTCCCAAAATATCTAAGTTAAGGAAAACATGGATAACCAAATGAAAAGGTTTTTTTTGTTCTCTTTTCACTTTGAAAGAAACTACTGAAATTTCATCCTGAAACTATTTTTTTACCTTGGAGGTGTTCAAGGTCTGTCTTGCAACACTCACACTCTGTGAGTCAGGTGTCACTATATTCACGAAGACCACTAGGTCATCGGCATAATACGGGTATCTGAGCTCAATAATGATTGGTAACTATGATTTTGTGTATGTGTGCCAATGTGGTATTGATTAACCTTTAATTATGCAAAAATATCTACATATTCATAGTAAAATATACATCTACCTGACCACATTAAGATGAAAAGGAGCAATGTAGAGAGATACCCCTTACCTAAAAAATAATTTTGCACAATGAACTATACTACAATGCTCTTGTGAGAAATGTGTCAAAATGTGGTATGATGAGGTGCCCAAACCACTGTGACACCAGTGAGACTTGATACATAATCTATAACTTAGGGACACAGGTAACTGTTAACTTCTCTCTACATCAGTCCCTTTATGTGTAAAATGTGGTTAGTCTTAGCTAGCTCTGGGGGTAGGAGTATAAAAACAATGTAGGTCAGAGTAGGCATTCAACATGTTAGACTGCTGATTTTTCTTCTCTCCACTCACTTGCACATTAAATGTTACGCAAAATTATGCAAATTTCTACAAAATATAATACTCTAATGGAGGTAGGATCATCTTCAATGGTTAAACAACTGCATTTTCAGTATATTTGAGTACTGTTAAAGTATACATTGTTTTTTGAAATTATGCAAACATTTATGTGTATTCACTAGCTTGGAGTTCCCTTAAAGTAGTTAAAATGCCACTATTATTAAATATGTGTATATAATTTGTTAACCACCCATATCACATCATTGATGAAGCAAAAAACTATTTCCAGTATAAAGTGTGTGTGTGTCTCAAATACAGTTGTAGAAAATGTATTACTATCATTGTATTTTAAGCTTTGCCAGTAGAGTCAATAGGTATAACACATTAGCAACTTCATATGTTTTTACTGTCATTAAAACTTTGTCCATTATTTCATCCAATAAACACTTTTTGTGTGATCACATCCTACATGGTAGGTTCGACCCCCTGCTTAGGGGCACATGTGAACACAAGTGTACCAGCAACGCTGGGGCTCTGGGGCCGCACTGCCTGGCCTAGGGCCTCAGGCTCCACCACTTCCTTTTAAGCAAGGGATTCAAGCAAAGGCCATCTAAGAGCCAGCTCCTTCCCTCGTTCTGCAACTAGGAAAATGCTCAGTAATGTGAGCCAGCTTAACAAGGACAACCTCAGCCCTGGAGGAAAAGCACTGTGTCTGGTGAGTAAGAGAGAAGAAAAAGTGAACTATTGAATTTAGTGCTGTACACGCATGCCCTGGAGGGGAATGAAAAATGTTCCATGATTATAAGGAGATTCACACTTATAATATGAGTCGCCTACCTTTTTCTTGTTTTAAGGGTTGGTTTTCTAAGAAGAGGACAGAGAGAAATAGTATACAAAACCAGAAATTACATGCAGAATACAAATATATGAGGAACACAAACTAAACATGTTTGAATTTAAAGGTAAAATACTTTAAATTTCAAAAAGTGAATGTGGTACATCATGATTGTTCTTTTTGCATGTGAAATAAAAGAAGGTAAAATTAACAGAGAATCATTTAATAAGTATCTGGTTCTAAGTTTTAACATGCTTTAGCAACATATTTTCAAAGTTTATCCTAAGAATCCATAGATAATGTTTAAAAACAGATTCTAGTCTCAGGGTTAACTTACCAAATCAGATTTTCAATGGGAGGATCTTGGGAATCCATATTTTTAACAAGTATTTCTTCTGTTTGAGTAAGTTTGAGAAAGCGATTCCAACACAAAAGGAAACGCAGCTTTCAGACTTATCTTCAGCATTGATCCTGAGGTGGGGATTCTGACTCAGGACAGGATGCAGCTCCTCCTCCAGGTAGCAGCCCCTCACCTGAAAATTGGTTTCATTTGAAGGGAAGAAAATTTGGGTAATTTCGAATCATTTGCTGCTTTATCAAATTACGGCTGGAGATCTCTCCTCCCTGGAAATGGCATGCAATTTCCCACATCTGGAAAACTGTAGCACCTTGGAGGCCCTCAAATTGTCCACTTCTGAACTGAGACAACAAACCTCTTCAGATTCTAAATTGCCACGTTATTTCTTCAAAAATAAATAAAACTGTGTCGAGGAACAAAAGAGACTTTGCAAAATTGTGTTCAACCACTAGAGCAAATGGCCTTGCATTCATAAGGAGGTGTATTTTATTTTTTCTCTCCTAGAATGAAAGTCTTTTTTTTCCTTCTGCACTTAGTAACATGAAGCTTAGGTTAGGCACTGAAAAGGAAATCAAAGTGTAAAGACCTGTGCTATGTGCTATGGAAAGACACTATTGCGGAAAATACTTTGCTCACTGTAAAATAAAGATTCTAAAAATAATTTGTGCTTAAGTACATTTAACTGGAAATACCAAGACATTAAAAAGAATAAACAGCATTCAAACCCATGTAAAACAAATCCCATCTTACTCAAATTCCATGTTTCTCACAACTTTAGAGGCAATATTGAAAGAAAACAATCTGGTTTATTTCATCAGCATAACCCAATGTGTTTTTAATCTTTAAAAACTTTTTATGATTATTTAAATATAACTGTTTACTGGAGAAAATAACAAAAGGAAATAGAAGAAAAAAGCTGATATTTTACCATTCAGTGATAGTAACGCTGGTTATTTGTATTTATATTTAAAAAAAAACAAGATTATCTTCAATAGCCATTTTTCACCCTGTTTTTAAAATCTAAAACTATGTCTTTAATATTTTCCAGAACCTCTAAATATTATTCAAGACCATTATTTTTAACAACTGCCTAGTACTCTCCAGTATGGGTTTATTATAATTAAATTCTTCTCTGTTGGGCATTGTCATTTTTCTATTTCTTTTTTTTAAATAAATGATATGGTTAATTTCCTTGAGTATGTGAGTGTATACTTGTATATACTTTTATACATATATATGTGTGTGTGTATGTGAAATATAAAGGTATATGTGTGTGTAGTAAAATTTTTCCCCTTAAAAATAAAATGACTGGGCTAAGGGTTACAGATATTTTACAGAACCAATATTATATAGTCTCAAATTGCATTTCAGAAAGGTTGTGCCAATATGCTTTTCTAACAGCAATATGTAAGAATGCATATTTGACCTTAAGCTGGTCCATTCCAAATTTCCTTATAGGATGAGAACATTATGAAGATTCAGGCAAGTGCTGTGTATCATATATGCCCCGACCTGCGGGACGAACGTGGGGTGTAGCCGGAGATGCCTGCAGAAATGAAACAAGCAAGGGACACAAAGAACGACCAGCAAGACAGGATGTCTGATCAAGCTGGCACAGTTTATTGTTTGCAGGCTCAATTTATACAGGTCAGCAAGGAAGGGGTGGGTCAAAAGACAATTGGACCTTAGGTGGCGCCGGCAGGAAGGTGTAGAGGGGTGATTGGGCCTTGGTTGGCGCCGGCGGGAGCAGAGAACACAGAAGAGAAGCAGGAAGTTCGCCATTTTGGAGGCGGGGGCTTTTTGGTCTCGGGCACATATAGTCTCAATCAGTTTCATAACACCATAAAACAGCAGGCATATTTTGTTTGTATGAACTTTTTTCAGGTGGAGGAAACACAAAAGCCAAACCCATGTAGTTTATGTATTTTTGTTTTGCTATAAATGACAAATCACTCTCTCCACCTGCTCCTGACATCATCTTTGTTTGTGGCTGAAGTCAGGTAATCAACACCAATCACTTTTGACAGTAAGACCACGGGACCTCAGAAATCCCTGTGTCAAATACTTCAAGGTAACATAAAAAGCACCGATTTAATTTTACATTGTTTTAGGAACTATGCTAACATAAACTTAACTAAAATATTGCTCAACAAAACAGTGAAGTTATCTTTTAAAAATTTTGATAAAAATGAGCACATTTTCAGAGATGCTATAGAATTTACACTAGAAACAAACTTGCAGTAGTGTGTAGCACATTTTTGCTAACATCATAAGAGCTTGTGCATAATTTATAAGAAACTAATTTAGTCGTGAACATAAATTTCCTGGTGGTGGGGAAAAGCTCTTTATTATGCATGTTTTATGACTTACCTCTTTCTCCTTTCACGGGTAGAGTGTACGAGCATGGCACTTCCATACATTAACTCCTGACTGTATGGATCAGAGACCAGTGGGCTGTGAAAGTCTCTAGACACGTGCTTGTTACAGCTGTGGATAAGGACATGTTATGTATAATCTAATGAAAAATTGGATTAACACTTTAAATTTGTCTCTTAGGCACCTCACTTTACAATCTAATAAAATTCCACTCACTTGCTAGCTGGAATTTTGGGGATTGAGCCTGCAAGAAACATTTTTGTCTTTTAGATTAAAAATATGTATTTCCAACAGCAAGACTAATTATTTTGAGGCATATATGAAATTCCATTTTTCTGGCCTCACTGTGGGTTTCATTCTTAGCTGTACAGACACTGAGATCTTTGTAGGCATTAGGTGGCAATGTCACTTAGCTTCTTGTCACCCTAAATCTTCTCTGACCAAGGTACTCAGTGTGTCCGAGGTGTAACTGCATAGCATGGTAGGAGACGCCTGTGATGAAAGAACAGTCCTGTGCTGGGAGAATGTTTCCAGACCACCTTCTTCCTAACTCCACCTCCACCATTTACCCAGCCTCGACAGATCCATTGTTCATACTTTCCATCCATGTCTTAAAGCAACGGTCTCCTGAAGGAGAAACAAATCAGTGCAATATGTTTTTCTTGGTGATGAAAGAATATTGATTTTGCATATATCCCCAGAGGGGTCGTAGAGCACGGAGCATTCCCAGAAACGGGAAGAGTTGAGTGGAGTTATGTAAGGAAAACATGAAGACATTCAAAGCCCGGGGAAAGAGACAAGCAGCTGTGGTATGATGGGTAAGTGGAGAGAGTCTTGAGTGCGGCTCTTGCTAGCTGTTTGCTCCTGGATGAACAGGGCTTCCATGATCCCACCCGGAAGACTGAAAATCCCTAACTTGGGAATCTGCTGTGACCTCTGTATCAGCTAATTTAGGTGGAAATCTTTTTTAAATTACAGAGTGAAATACATACATAAAATGCTATTTTTCCAGGGAGGGAGAAGAAAATGCATAATGTATCAAACCAGGAAGCCTGATATGTTTTCTCTTTCCTTTATATTGCCCAGTTATTTTTTAACTCCCCAAAATTGTATTTTAAATATATTTCCTGTCACTTAGAGTCAGCCTACTTGGAGGTTAAAGGCTCTGTGCAACTGCAAAGACAAAACATGGGTTTGCTGTAAAAATTAAAATTCTAAGTTCAGTTATTCTCAGGATTTATTTTTCATCTCATTGTTACACTTAATAATTGTTCGGTAAAGCAAAAAGATCAGTCCCTCCCAGAAATGCATTTCTTTGGCATTTTTGCAGTGACTTAGTACAGGAAAGCCATGAGTGTACTGGAACTAATAGGAGCATTTTAGTGCAAAGCAACATCTGTACACTGCAGGTGCTTAATAAAAGGATGTGTGCTGATGTGCAATTTAAGGTACCCGGGTAGTAAAAGGTAAGTAAGTGTTTATTCTGGGCAAATGCATAACTCGTAATTTTTCAGAATTTAAATAAACTTATCTTGATCTAAGCAGGCAGGTGGATGGGACCACGTCCATTTTGCTGTGATGCTGCCTATCTTTCCATGTTGCTAACTGAACCCGTCCCAGGTAGAACCACACAAACCGTGCTGCTGGTGTGTACCGGGGGGAGGAGCAAATGAGTGTACTGTGTTTTTAGGTCACTTCTTACAAGTTTCCCCAAGCTGACTTCTCTGCAGTAGCCCATGGGGAGCAGAGGACATGCACAAGTGGACCAGTCGGTGCAGCGCCTGCAAGAATGCTCAGGGCATGTTTGTGAAAAATCCGAGCGGGCTTCGGGTCGCTGAAATGAAGTTGCGTGTCAGGTCGGCTGCAACTGTCCTCCCATTCGGTCTTGTCAACACCTGTTTCACTAAATCAGCACATGGTAACGTAGTTATTCTCACTCCTGACCAGCACGTGGGCTGCGGAAAAGCACGTCATCCATATCCATCAAAGCAGGGGGGACGGCCGTCGGTTACCCCAAGGAGAAGAGCACTGCTCTGGAGAAGACGCTGTCCCAGCTGCTGCACCTGAACTGGGGCTGGGCTGCGGGGGTTGGTGGTTTCCGCGCGTGGGGCAGGACCCCCTCCCGACGCTCGCATCACGCCCGGCACCGGCCGTGGTCCTCTGGTTCCCGCTGCTGCCCACGATGAGCTTCCTTTCTTACAGCCCCGCTTTGTGATAAAAGGCCTCCTAACATTTCAAACTGGGCTGAGCTGTGGGCACTTCCCTGGTACGTACGCTTTTGCTTTCCCTTTCCCAATATTGCTAATTTTTGAAAGAACACTTTTGGTAAAAAGGCCATTAGGACAGAAAGTTAAAACTACAGGGACGTTATTAAAAAAACAAAAAAACCCCACAGTGATGTGTATCTTAGCATTCTATGCTAAGTTTGAGCGGACTTTTCATTTTTTTCTTCAGCACCAATCAAAAAGAAGTGTAATTTTAGCATTTTATTTAAATGTAAATTTGGCAATCCTAGTTCTCTTCATAGTGACAAACTTGAGCAGGTTACACTTTAAAACTGGTGATGTTAACACTATTCTTTAAATGCCCTTTCAAGGGTAGATTCAGAACCTTAGAACACTTACTATTTCTCCTCTGTAGTTCCTCTTCTCGAAAACTTCATCTCCTGTAAAATAAAAATGGAATCAAACTTTAATTAAAATGATGAAATGTATATTATATATATGCATTAATGATTTATGAAAAAAAGTAAAGAATCTAAGAAAAAAAATGAAAAAAGGGCTGATTCAAAATTTAAGATTCTTGGAAACAAATTGCAGGATTTTGCTTAGCAATCTTCTCTTTTGATTGACAATGAAGCCCCTTTAATAAGACAATTTTACCTTCTCTTTTAGAGCTAGTAGCCATTTATTTTACAATTTTTTTTCTATTGAGAACAATAGCTTTATATAGTTACAAGCAAATACATTCAGGGATTATGACCAAAAGGAACTGCCCCAATGTTTCATTGTACCAGTCAGTGACTTACTTCTTTCATAGATAGTGTGTCAATCTGCAAAATGCAATTTCTGAATATTTAAAAATGTGTCCTCATGCCTACCCGTACTGCTTCTTACACACATGCACAGATATACCTCATACAATTTACCCACAAGGACAAGATGTATCATGTTGGTAGAGGCAGGACCTAAAAAATCAGCATTTTGGTAGCGGTTGCGTATGTTCAATTTTAATGCCAGAAATATGTAAAAAGGTTATCATGGAGTATTTTCATGACCAATTGGAAGCACCTGTCACTCATATCTTCGACATCAAGGACATCTGTATTTTAAAATACAGTATCAAATCAGAATTAAGTAAGTGGGAGATTCTCCCCAGTATTTTCTTTGTTCTCTTGAGTACTGTCCTATTTATGACCTGGTTGTCGGCAGGGCTTACTTCACTCGTTGAGTACATGGCTAGTCCTTCTACCAAAATGTTGTATTCTCTGTCAGCATACAGTGTCATTACCAAGATTATTTATAGTGTTTATGTGTAAAGGTCACGACCTCTGAATCTAACAGGAAGGAAGCCAGAGGCCAGTCTGAAGGACAGAACTTCCACCGCACGAATCACTGTGCACGTTTGGCAGTTAATTCGGCCGGAGTGATGAGTTGTATCAATCATCAGTCTATTCTTAGGCCCCCATACGTACAGAGAGGATTTACGAGGGAAAGAGCAGACAGTGGAGCAAGAGAACAGGCAAAGGGCTTGGGTGTCATTTTAATGAGCTGTATGTGTTAAAAGCCGTAAGATAGAAGACTTGCTTTGAGAGACGATCGATTTTTTTCTTTTCTCTAACATGATGTTTCTGTACTTGCCACTCTTTCAAATTAGCAATTATTTTTACAGGGAGTTGAAAAGGAAAAAAAAAAAGATGATGTTATTTAAAACAATGCTTAACCTTCAGCAGATGAAACAAGGTGAATACGATTTAAAAGTAAAAGCACGGGCTTTTTTTTTTTTTGGCTTAAGATCAACATAAGCATTAGAACAGAACCTACTAATTATGCATGAACTTTTCCATAATGCAGTAATCCCGTCTCTGCTTTTGTTTTAAGAGAAGATGATGCTATGTGTCGGTAAAGGCAGAAACTAATGAAAGACAGGACAGGAAGGCCCCTGGGTGAGAATTTGGAAAAGTGCTTATTAGTGTAATTGTTCAGAACGCAAATATTGAAGCAGGAGGTTGAAGTTAGATTTAGCTTAGTAATGGTGGAAATAATTCTACAAGAGACTTACTGAAAAATAATACAGTATACAAGCCAGCAAGGATTCAAGACAAAAAGAAAATGCTCTACTTCAACCACGTGTCTGCAATGACAAAATGGAGTGAAATACCGAAAGAGTTGTATAGCTTTTTTTTTTTTTTAAAGTGGAAAGAGAAGTTGTTTAAAGAAAGGCAGACGGCCACAAGCAGAGCCTCACTGGGCTGTGTCTGGGGTCTTGGAGGCTTGATCACCCTGCTCCTACAGACGCACCTCCAGAGCCTGTGTGGGGGTCTGAGCAGGGAAGCGAAGCTACTCCGTACCCCTGGAGGAGAACCATCCTCCTCTACTGGGGAAGGTGGTCCTCTTCAGCCAGCACCCAGGACCCCTGAGCATGGGGCGGAGGGGGAGGAAGGGCAAGCCCCAGCCAGTCAGGTCCCCCGAATCAATGCTGGCGATCAATGGGGTGACAGATACCACAGCCAGACTGCCCTCACATGCTGAAAATAAATATAATGTGTGTCTTTCTTTACTTTTAACTTTGCTGATGATAGAGATAAAATTTAATTTGTTGTTGATACTTACACCATACAGGGATTGGAGGATTTCTGAATCATCATAGATGCCACAAATTATTCCTGGTACTTAATGTCTTTTGATGGGATTACAATGCTGGAGGCTATGTGCTAGTATCCTTGCTTTGCAGATGAGAAACTGAGGCAGCTGCATCTGAGCCCACCAGGGGACAAGCTCTCAGACAATCTGCTTCAGAGAGTGGTGCACTTCCCTTCCTAACCCAGTGTGATGTCCACTTAATTTTCCATTACTTGCTCAACTAATAGCTGCTATAGGGAATTTTCCTCTAGATGTCAAAACTTATTTTTGAGACTTACTAAGAGCATCCATAAAGATTTTTGCTTTGTCTCCATGTTTTTTTATTTTAAATATAATGTTATTCTATATTTTTTCCATTGTCATTTATAAAATTATGTCATATCATATATCATATGTGTTGTATGTTATATAATTCATACGTAACATTATATATTTTTTATACATAACAAGAGTAGATTTTTTTGCACTGGGGTTAAGAAAAACATAATTGGTTTGTAATAATTGGAATGCTGTGTACAATAGTGAAAGAGCTCTACATTATTTTTACTTATTTTTATTTATTTTATTTATTTTTCTTAGAAACATTCACAGTTGAATATAATATCTTTTCTTCCCTGTAACTGTTATAGTTATCCTTCCTCGTATGCTAAATATTGGTTTTTACTTTCATTTGATTAGATTTGTTTATAGATGTGAATTACTGTAACTTGCCTTTACTGTTTTTATGAAAAAAAGTGTGATAGAATAATGCTTTTAAAGAGCAGCTCTAGAGTTCATTTGCTACATGATCATTTGTGTTTCTCTACCTCTCCTCCTCAAATAATCAAATAATTGATGGCTAGATCCAGCAGAAAAAATATATAATTTATTCAATGATTTTTAACCCCCCTGAAATGTAGGGTGGACTCCACCCAGGAAGACTTTGCTGTTGTAAGCCATTGTTTCACGGGTGCACAACTGAATGTATATTTCCCAAGAAGACGGTAAACTGGAATGGATGACTGGCTCCAATCCTAATGCAGTTCTGGCGTGTCATGGTGAAATCCAGTAGATTTTCTGAGAAAACCCCATGGAGACGGAAGATAATGAGTATGTAGTGTTTGGGAGATGGATGCAAACAACATCTCAAAGGAAAAGGCTAGGGGTCCCACTTGAGACTCTGGCACAGCCCTGCCTGCACTGTCATGCTGGCAAAGGTGAAAAGGGGCAGCAGGAGGCTGTCTCAGAAGGGTAACACCTGGGTGCCATCCACACATGCCAGCCAGGCTGACAGCCTCTCCCTTCACACAAGGACTAGGTGTACTGTCCAGGGGCCAATCAACTGCAAAGAGCTAGGCAGAGTGGGGAAAGGAAGGCCCCCACTGAAGCAGTCACCTGGAGGGAGCCAGCACATTCAGGGGTCCATCGTTAGTGGTTTTCCATTTTGAAGAACATTTCTCTGTTACTTTAGACTGAGCAGATGGTGTAGAAAGCTGGGCATGGAAGCCTAGTGCTGATTCTGTCTCATCTCTGAGCAATGCACCAACACAGCTATAGTGTCAGGTACTCTCAAGGGAACAGGGGTGGGCAGGGATCTAAGAGTATCATTCCAAAAAAAAAAAAAAAAAAGAATCAGAGTTAATGGAAGAGCAGAACGAGAATTTAAAAGAAGTATAATAAACATTTCCCAAGTGACAAAATAATTTGTCAAAAGAGAACATTTATAATAAAATAATAAGCCAGGGTATGAAAAAGGAAATAAAGAATTTGATAAAAGTGAATGATAACAGAAGAAGAGAATCCATTAAATTAAAAATTAATAATTATATGTATTATTTATTAAATCTATAATGTTTATATATTGTATGACCATTCATTTTTAATAATAATGGAACCTGTTCTATTGTTTTAAATAATCTGAAATAATATATCCATATTAGATACTATATAATATATACAGAGTCCATATTATACTCTGTTCTTTGGGATACATCTACATATTTACATAATTCATTCAGTGGGCTAATACTATCTTTGAAACATTTATGTGTACAAACCCAAATTTAACATTCAGTAAACATTTCCTATGCTAATTTTATAGTTGCAATCATATAGACAAAGACTTTTGGATGATAGTATCACACATTTAATTAAGGTACTGAGCCTAACCTTGCAAATGCTCCAAAGACAAAAGTTCTTTCATAGGACCCCAAGATTAAGAATATAGGCCTCACTTACATTTTATGGTATCCACTGCATAATAGTCTCCCTTACATTCTCAAAACAAGGTAAAAGCTAACCAAGGACTTACCGTTCTTGAAGGCCCCACCGATAACATTTCCTCAGTGTTTCTCACTTGACACCTATAGTTCAAACATTTGAATTAAGGTGTAATTAAAGTATCTCAGGCTTATAATAATTTTATATTAAGAATGGAACCAGCAGTGCATTAAAACCACATAATTCATCATGAACAAGGAGGATTTCTCAAAGGATGAAAGAGTAACTCTACTGGGAGAACCTGTGGATATAATGTCCATAGGAGGAAACTAAGGACAAAAAGCTGAACACAGTGGAGGCAAATGTTAAATTTATGTTGCCTATTTTTTATTACAACTTAGAATATTAGGAATGGGGGAACTTCCTAAACTTGATAAATCTTTTTCATAATTTTTTAAACTGTAGATACGTTCTTTTAAATTTGAGTGTAAATCAAAACACTTGTTTTAATCATTGTAGCTATTTAATGCTGACCTAGAGATCTTCCCCCATATGTAAGTTTTGAAAAAAAAAAAATACTCAAAGTAAAAAGCTACATAGTTTCATTTGTAGAATTACTCATCTATATTAAAAAAAACTCAGGAGAGTCACCTGAAAAAAATTTTAAGAAAGTTCAGCAAAGTTAATACAAATAATGTCAAGTTTTAAAATAAAGTGTCTTTACTTCAGCATCAATCAAGAGGAAAATAAAAATGAATAAAATATTCAAATACCATGCAAAATCACTACTGATTATGTGTTCTGAATACAAAGCCCTTTTGACGTCTTCATTCTTTCCATTACTTCTGGTGACAATCCCTATATGAATTTACTTTTTTTTTTAAAGCATTATGAAATTTTTAAGAAGTTCTCTATTCAAGTAACTGGGCTGTGTTCCCAAAAACCAGGTGCCCTCTGTAAGATAAATTCTAACTGAAATGAGTAGGCGATGAGAGGCAACAAAGGGCCAGGCAGTTTATTTGAGCGCAATCCCCGGCGAGGCTCACCCGTCTGCACAGACACAGGCCAGAGAAGTCGCGCCCAACCAGACAGGCAGGGAGTTTTTATAAGCACAGGGAAGGGAGGGGGAAGTGGGCCACGCCAGGGGTATGTGGGGAATTTTTATTGGCTCAGGATCAGGTGATGGACAGCCAGAGGTCTCCTCCTTCTGGATGGAGGGGATCTGCATCCGGGGTTTGTTGGCACATCTCAGGACTGGAATCCCGGAAGAGCTGTCAGTTCCTTTCTTATATGGCACAGAGCTATTTGGTGCTGTCTTTGTTCCTCTTGCACTGTCCTCGCTTTCCTCCCTCCGGTACTTCCAACCTTACACCCCCCTTCCCCTGCCGTCTCCTGTTTTCTATTAATGGTGAGCAGCTAGTGGGGCATCGTGAACTGTGTCCTCATTTGGGACATATGGCATCCAGGGAAGGGCACTGTTTCCTGACTAGGCCTAACTACTCCTATGTCACCTGCCCACGAAGAAAAATTAGCAATAATGCTGATGCAAGACTTAACACTTTCTGGTTTTCCATGCACAGGGAGTACTGGAGGATAGTAACATTGCAATATATGGGTTTAAGTCTAGAGGACATTTCAGTTCCATACAGGGGTGTGTGCATGTGTGTGTGTGTGCACGCATGTGTGTGTTCTGAGAAGTAGAGGTGATGTTTGAGTCAGGTATTGAAATGTATCTTATTAAATGTTCCTTTGCTAGTTCAGATACTACAGCCTGAGAATTATCTTAGAATTTGAGCGAATCAAGTCCCCGTTCTCCAGTATTTTTCTAGCAATACACCTTCATATTACTAAATGTGTATGTGACAAATACATAGTACCTAATATCTTATAACTTACTGTCAAATTTAGTTTGAGGTCTTCTGTTGAAATCGAGGCTGCCTGGAAGTTTTCCTCAGGATGAGGCTGGAGGTGCAACAGGGCCGACAGAAGAGAGAGTTCACATTGAGAGGAGAGAATGGGAGAGCATCACCCTTGCAAAACAGTCCACCTGTTCTCTGTAATTCTTACGGAAGTCCTGTGAAGCAAGGGTGTGGATGCTTACTCCGACTTTACACATGTAGAAAAGGAAGTTCCGAAGGAATGAGTGATTTACCAAAATCACAAAACTAATAGTGTACGTACCGATAGTCCCAGGTTCTTTTCTGAAAGGTGAATGATGAAGTGGGACAAATTCTTTCCAAAATTTTATAGTATTTGATCATTTAATGTCAAGCCCTTTTGCCAAAAATTGTTACACATCTATCTAAGAAATATTCTGCTTTTCTTTAGGCTTCCTAAAAGTTTCCAATGAAAAGATACTCCTCCTGGGAAAACAGACAACAGTGTGTGTATGAGTTTTAAAGTTAACAGAACATATTAGAGAAAAAGTTCAGAACTAAATTATTAACTCTCAAGGGCTACGGCACAATGTCTTCTACGGCCCAAGACATTGGTGGGCTGCATATCTGAAACTATGAGCCCACTCCTTTAGCAAATGCATTTGCTAACAGTGGTTATCACCTTCTACCATGCAGCTTAAGTTGAATTTATTTCCAGAAAACAGATGTTGAGGTGATTTGCCCTGTTTCAATTGGACAGAGATATAGATTAGAAGATTTTATTTCTTTTCATCCAAGATTATCTGAACCTGATTATGTAACAGTGTGTTACAATATCAAGTGTACAGTCATATCTCAAAGTCACCTAAAAAGTACTAATATTATCCATGTAAAAATGTTATGGATGTTAAAGAACAGGAAATATAAAGAAATCGTTTTTTTATGAAACATTAGAACACAAAGAAATCTGTGTGTACTCTGTGCTATCTTAAAACACTATTAAAACATCACCCTTAAGGGCAGCTGGTTGCTTCTTGTTAGTTCACTATTAGTGTTCCAATTTAAGATAATTGTGCATGACTAAATCCCATTTTAAACAATTTTTGAAGCAATTCTTCATTATTTCCTTTAGTCTCCCCCTATCCTGAGTTTTGTTCTTTCCCACCTGAGCTTTGTGCTTTGCACAATCCATCAAGCACAGATGAGTCCTAAAATACTACCCCTTCCACAGCCTTACAAAAACAAGACAAAACAAAACAAAAGCAGAGTCAAGACAATTTTTCTTAGTCCATCATTAATAACTGTGTATAATATTTTATATATTCCCCTCCCCTTCTGGCAAGAAACAAAAGGGGGAAAAAAATGAGAGAGGGCTTTTTTTACAGATTGACTAACTTTTCCTTATCCCCATGTCTTATACCTACATGTATATATAAATTTTATGTGTTAAAGTAGAAAAGCCATGACTTTCTTGCAAACAGACCTAGCTTACAGATACTTATTTGTGAAAACTTACATCATGATTTTCAGGAACTCAATCACTCTCCCTCAGTGAGACTCAAGGCACTTATTTTTAAAATGAATTTTAAAAATCTCTGAATATATCACCAAATGATGGCGTGTGAATGTCTTGATACAATACACATCAAAACCCTTAGTGACATAAAAACCCTCTCTCTATACATCTTCCTACCTATTAAAATAGCCTCACTACACATTACTCGCCTGAGGCCAGTGTCTTCTTTTCACTGTGTTTTCCTATTGTTTCGTATTGTGCCTCACAGAGCATAGCTGGATAAACAGCTTTGTCCTCAGCTCTCTCTTCTTTTCCAGGCTTTTTCATTTGCCTGGAATTCTCTTTCTCCCCAGCTCCTCATTTGGCTGTCCTCTTACTCATTCAGGACTAGGTTTAAATGTCAGTTCTTCAGGCGGCCTCCCTGGATTCACAGGACAAGTGAGGGCTTACTGGTGTGCATGTCGTAATACACTCTAACGGCCCTCGTGACACTTACCAGTTAGAATCAATACATTCCTCAGCAATTACATATTAACCCTTTCTTTCATTCTCACATTCGCCTACCAGAAAGGACTTGGTAACCCCACGCTCTAGTTTCTAGCAATATAAGTATTCAACAGAGGTTTGTCAGTTTGTTGAATGAGCAAATAAGTAAAGGTCATTCGACAAATACAGAAAAATGCTGGGTCTATTATTTTCATGTTGTATTGATTGCAGATGAGTTTATCCACTCTACTTAATTTAGGAACAGAGGGATTTATTAAGGGCTATGAAACAGCTGACCAGAGCAGTGAGAGGTCCAGAGAACGGGCCTGGAACTAAACTTTTAGGAACAACCTCCAACTCCAAATATGGGGAATCGGCTGGAGCCATTGCGGGACCACAGGTACCCGAGCCGCTCTGCCGAACTGCCTTCGTTGGAAATCTGCCACCGTGTCCCACCGAGAGCCACGGCGGCTCCATCACGCCCACTCCGGCTTTCTGGAAGATGGCTTCCTTGCGTGCCTTTTCCAGTCAAAGTAGCTTGTGTCCTCCACTGGGAGGGGATTCTGCTCATGCTTAATGCCGCCTGTGACACTTCGTCATGCAGCTGACTTGTGCTGACCCCTCAGACTTTTGGACTCTGGGTCTGATGAACCCGTAAGAAGCTCTGACCACATGACCGGCAGCCAGGGGTCATTTCTAGCGGGCCTGAGCAGCTCGCCAAGTGTGTTGAGCACTCTCTGTTGCAGATGCTATTGTCTTGCTTTAGATTCCAAAGACTATAGATTAAGACTTCCCTTTGAGGGGATCACCCAAACTTCACACAGCACATTTCCCCACCAAATATCTCTAAAGCCACGCAGTCTGATCTCATGCGCTGGGTCACACAGTGCGAGCAGCAGACCGCTCTCACCACATCTTGGAGCACCAGCACAGACCCTTCCCGCTCTGGGACTCCCTTGTCTCTCGTTAAATGCATTGTAGCAGAAGTCTGGAATATAATGCTTTCAGATCCTAAAGAGACCTAAACGGATCGTGTTCCTTCTCAGTAACGGGAGAATGAAGATTCAATAATTCTTCCTGCAGAGGGGCTCTTCTGGCACAGCCCAGACTGCTGGACTTCACTTGTGTTGCAGACCCCTGAATCTTTATTGGGCTAATCCTGCACCTTCTGGAAAGCGTGTGTCTAACCAAAGCCTCCGATTCACTTGCCACTTCATGATCATCTGTTCCTTTGGGCATGTCATCCATACAGTGGGAAATGTCATATTTTCTGGAATGTACAGGTGATTGGAGTCCTTGTGGACTATCTTATGACAACAGGCATGCCCACTGGTGTCTAGCTGTTTTCACTCAGTGTATCGTTTTGAGATTGACCCATGTTGTCTGCTTGCAGCAGTAATGCAAGTCTTTTAATTTCTGAATAAAGGCAGTTTTTTCTTTATTCCTTTATTTTTGTAGCACAGGTTTAATACAGATTCCTCTTAATCAGTGAGACTTGCCACAAACTTCCATTTTATAATTGTGTATTCCTTTATATTCTCTTCCTTTATATTCTCCAGATTATAATTTCAGACATTAATTATTAATAATACACTCTTTATGAGGTTCCCCTTCAATATCTACCAAACATTCTTACTTCAATTAGCCCCTAGTTCGCTCTGTCTGCTCAGCTGACTCGAAGTCTGTTGTGCCCTCAG